GTATTGTAGACACTGTGATGTTCCTGTTTACCCCACCTGTTTGGCATCTGATCGACATCTCGGTCATAAATTATAAAAAATTCTATAAGTTCCGGGCGAAAGAAAAATTTATACGGAAAGAGCAAATTGAATTAGAAGAAACAATTTATCCCACATACCAGGAAATAGCAGCTGATGTTCAAAACATAATGAGTCAGTTGAAAAAGGACTATGAAATCTCTCAACAGCCATAACAAATCAGGGAGAGTATTGGAACAGACGTATCACCTTTGTTGTCAGTAAACTTAAAAAGAAATATAGAAACCTCATATTTAAATGCTTTACAAACATCGCAGCACAGTTTAGGTTACAAAAAAGAGGCGGAGCCTAATTTTTACGGGAAAACTTGACTATGACATCACACACAATATACGTCATACAACATTTCTTCAAAATACCACAAAATGAGTTTATCTGCTAATTTAACCAGTAAGAAATCATCAAACTACATAAAAACTTACTACAGGCTGTTATTTTGTCGTTAGTTAAATCCCACATAACAAGTTATAAACAAGTCACTGATCGCAATACACTTGTCAATATGACGTCATTTCTTAAAACGTGACGTAGTTTGTATGCAGTGAGAGACAGATCAAGTAATATTTTCTCAACAAATATGCATTCTCTAATTGAATAAAATATTATTTACAGATATTCTATGGGCCAATAACTTGAAGTTAAGGTCAAGATCTAGTAAATAACTTGAGACTAATTTTTGGTGCTAGATCCATTATGACGTCATAATCAATTTCAACTTTCTTTTTCCCGTACTTTATGGCTTTAGCAGAATTATGTAGCAAATGGGGTATTTTCATGTCATTCGATTTGAAATTATATGAAAAGTAAACCGGATACCTATATTAAATTTGATATTAATTTAGAGAAGAGACCATAAACATACTAATTACGGTTTTCTGAGAGACTGTAGGCAATCTGGATACATTTCCTTTGCCGAATACGAAAAAAACTCCCGTATTCATGACTGGTTTTCTTAATTTTTCATTGAAAATGACAGTTTAAAATACAGTTTTTCATCTTATTTAACTACAAATTATGCCCCGAAACGCTTTATATGACCAAGCGAAAGTTGTAAAGCATCAATAAAGGAATTAATTTCTCAAGTTTGATAAATCTGTAGGCACCTTTCATTTACTAGATCTTGACCTTAAAGTCTTCTTCACTATTTTATTAACATATTTTCTGTACATTACATATTTAATTTATACTGCCGTATATTTGTATGCAAGTACATCGGAGGGTAATGTGGGGAGTCTTAATAAATCGATCTAGTGCAAGGGCATACACTCTATGGATCAAAGTAAGCTTTTACATTTCAACTATAAAAGTATTAAGGTATCTGAAAAGTGCTATGATCCTGATGAAATCTTTAAAACAATTTAATTATATCAATATTTCATGCCGCTGACCAGCAAAAAATATAGCATTCGGTCATACAAGTATAATTTTAACAATGAATTGCAGAATTTAGACAGGATCGCAGCACTTTTTAGAAACTACAATGCGTGATGAAAGTATTTATATACTAAACATGGAAATTTTACTTGGTTATGCCCTTGCACAAGTGATATTTATATGTAACATCAATATACTTCAAGTCAATGTGCAAAAATTGAGTGACTGTCGCATCACGTGACTAGTCTAAATATAAAATATAATTGTCCTCGATATGTAGTAATTAATCATAATTACAATTATCCGATATAAATTATGTACTAAAAATAATCGCCATCCCGATTAATAATAATTTGATACGAGGGTTGATCCAAAAGTAATGTCACTGTGTCCATATCTTTTATATTTGGCGTCATATTATCAAATGTAATGCACCAAAAGAGGCAGAAACATAAATTTAATCAAAATTGAAAATGTCATTTAATAATGTTCAATTGAATTCATTTTATAGATGTTTGAAACATTAAACATAGGGGTGTCGCCGCGTCACAACTATACGTCACGTTTTAAAGTTAATATTGTTAGAATGAAAAAAAGACAAACAGATTTAAAAAAGCATCTAAAAATCGTATAATCGTCCAATATTTTAAAATACAAAATTTACATTTTCTAATCTTTAGTTAAAAATTAAATGGCAACATTTTTTTTTCATCATAAACAGTATTGTTTATATCTGATGTATTGCAGAAAGGAAATGTCGAAATAGAATAAAACACCGAAACTAATTATAATGTATTTTTCCTTCAAAATCGGGAAATCACAAGTAGAAACAGTCATAATTGTAAATCAAACTCACAGAGAAAAGAATGTTAACGAGAGACTTGTTCATAGATGGTTCCAGAGATTTTGGGCGGGTAATAGGTAATTAAATGATCATTTGGGGACAGAAATACCGAAAGATGGGAGGTCGGGTGGAAACGTTCAATGCCGTCGACGTTGTCGTTAAAGGGATTTGTGGCAGTTTGATTGATATGAGACGCTTTAAAGTTTGTCTTATGGTTTTGTTCAAAGAATTGTGATGAAGGATTAAATTATAGATAAAGTGTACAATTGGTGTCATTTGTCTTACAGAAAATAAAATAAGTGAATAGCTTGTAAATATCAATTTTTTTTAATAAAACGAGGGGAAGGCGTTTTTAAAAGTGTGTGACGGAGCATATCCGTTTTATTACGTTATTTAGGTGCGGTGACTACCATAATCGCACTTAATGTTTAATTCAATATTTTGAAAAGTATAAATCATTTTAATTTGAATTTTTCAGGACTGATTTGAAATAAATATAGCTTCCATCATTTTAATTTTGTAAATTTACGACAACTAGGAGAAATTTTATCGAAGTTGTGACATTACTTTTGGATCAACACTCGTACATTTTTAAATACAAAATTTAGTCGATATATCCATTGTGCACATTAAATGTACTGCCATATCTGAATATTTAAGAAAAATTTCTGACATTAAAGTTCAGATGGATTTGCTTGAAACTGCTGCTAAAGCCAAGTCCTTTGGTACGCCATTCAGTAAAAAATTTTTTTGCTAATCATCATAAAATACTTCACTCCAAAAAACTTCTGTCGTTACCTAAATTCCGGATATAACATCATGACAGACTGAAAAACTAAGAAAATTTATTAGCATTGGTTTTTGTTCACATCGTAAATTTATCGCCAAAAAAAGGAAGTCCTTCAAAATTGAAATGTAAGACTAAAGTATTGGATGAAATGGCACGGTAAAAATAAATCTTTATGGACCATTACACTTAATTAAGCTTCTTTGAAGAATCAAAGCACTACAAGATATACTTTGATGATATTTGAATTCGTTACATCAATGTGTCATATATAGTTCAAACTATTTCCAATGTACATAGAATACAGGTCATAAAACATATTAACAGACAATACCGGACAGGTACATGTACAAACACAGCAATATTGGTCATGTGATCAAAGACATAAATTGTTTTGGATTTCAATTGGTAAGAAGAGCATCCATTTCACTCTTTGAGACAGGTAATAATTTTATATAATACGGGCTATTTTCGCCTTAAATGTCAAAGATTTTTTCATATATATATATATATACAGCACAGTTAAGGTTATAAATGAAAATATCGACATTTTTTTTTTAAATAGAAAATTCATACTTTACTAGGATGGGCGATTCTTTTCAGGACTTCACTGATATAAAATAAATGTAATGTGGTTTAAATCTACATGTTGGGAACATTTAGATTTTTTTTAATTTAAACTTGCCACGTGATGTCGACGTCACATGATTTTAGCAATTATACTTGTAGTTAAGAGGTCATTTATAAATTCCAATATTGCAAGGGCATAATCAAGTTAAAAATCTTAGTTAAATTTATAATCCTTTTAAACACTATATGTAGTTAAAAGTGTTGCATTCCTATAAAGATTTCCTTTTTTAATTGCTAAAATTTAATTTGTTGGACGGCATGTTGAATATATTGCTAGTCAACTACTTTTAATATAGCTATTATTCATATATTTGCAAGATTTCATGAGGTTCACAGCACTTTTCAAATATTTTAACGCTTCTTGATTTTATGTGCAAAACCTTGACAAAATACATTGAGAGTATAGCCATGCAATAAATCGATTTAATAGGGTCCTTCCATAACTTTTTTCAATGAATATGCATATAAACACGACAGTTTCACTTGTCTGGAATATGAACAGACAGTTTATCGAAAAAAAATACTTAAATAGGCATCGCATCCAAGTTAACGGCATTTTATTTAACTGCAAATAATATTTTATTTGAGAATAAAAGACATTTTTCTTTGTACAAAATGTGACTTGATCAGCTTCTCATTATATACAAACTGCGTCATTTTTGCGAGATGATGCCACATTGACAAGTGCATCGCGATAAATGCATTGTTTATATATTGTTTTGTGGGATTTAACAAACTACAAAACTGCATGTAATAGTATGTTTGTATGTAGTATACAGCTATCCAGTTGTTTGAAATAGCAAATAATTTTATTGTGTGGTATTTTGAGGACCTTATATTATGTGTGACATCATAGAAAACATTTCGCTACAAATTAGGCCCTTCTCCTTACTCTACGTGTAACCTTAACTGTGCTGCGTTTTCTGATAACATTAAACCCTTGGTTCAGATTGATAAATGAGTATAAATGTCTGAAGCTTTTTTAACTAAAATATTACATTTTTGAAAAGTATTATACAATTATTCCTGTGAAATCTTTTTTTTACTTTAAAATTTATATTTTTTAAGTACATGTCATTTGTCATGTTCTATTTTGTCAGTCTGTCAGAATGCAAAGCTTATCACATGTAGACAGAGAGATACAAAAACAACCGAAGACAGAAATATTTATCTTTCACCTATAGCTAAATTTTTCGAATCTTAAATCCAGTGTCTACAACGATCTTTTAAATACCTGTATTTAACAACAATAAATCAATTTTTTTATTGCAGAGCCAAACACTTATCATGGACCCCCGAACAAGTGCCCAAGATGTTATACGATGTGACATTTGTGAGACTGCTGTAGTGCAGATGCACTGTGATACATGTCTTAACAATCTTTGCAAGGCCTGTGTTGGAGAACATATTTCAAGTGAAGAATCTAAAGATCACAAGGTGGTGAAATTTCACTCCAGAAATACCACTCCGATCTACCCTAGATGTGCCTTCCATGAAAAAGAGCAATGGGAGATGTTTTGTAAACACTGTGACATTCCTGTCTGTCACACGTGCCTGGAATCTGATCAACATCTCGGTCATAAGTTATCAAACATTTTGCAGGTTCTGGGTGAAAAGAAAGATTTGATAAGGAAAGAAAATAAAGAACTGAGGGACAATATGTATCCTACCTACCAGGACATTGCAGCTGATGTACGAAACAGAATGACAAAGATAGAGATGGAATATGGAGATCTTTTAACAGCTATAATAAAACACGGAGAGGACCGCCACAGAGAACTTGAACAACTTGTCGGGAGATTTAAAATCAAAGTTAATGAAATGAAGACCTCACAAGTACAATCTTTACAAAAACATCTGGATGACATTAACAAGAAAATTGTTAACATTGAAGGAGAAATTGATTCACTTGATACTGCTGCAGACTCAAATGACATTTCACTACCATTTAGTGTGAGATCCAATATACATCAATATGAAAAGCTTCCACAAAAACTTGTTTTTTCTGTACCTAATTTCATTCCAGGGACAATTCAAGAGGAAGAACTTTTTGGAACTTTATCCTCAATTTCTCTAAAAGCAGAGGTGTATGGATACAGTACAAAGACAACAAAAGACTCATCAGAATGTGAATCCCATCCCCCAGACAAACAGAAATCAGAAGAAGTCATTTTGTTTTCAGAAACTCGTTCCCATTTACCGGTAAAAACCTTGCTTGACATTCCAGAGACTTTTGACACAAATATTTTCTATGATAGTGAATACCTTCAAAATGTTGAATGTTTTGGTGCAGAAGAGATGTGGACAAGTGGAGATAGCAGTACCATAAGACTCTTTAACATCAGTAATGGCCATTTAACATTCCAGACTTCCATCACAACAAAGACAGGAAATTGGCCATCAGACATAACAGTGTCAAGAAGTGGAAATCTTATTTACACTGATAACTCCGAGAAAACTGTCAACATTGTTCAGATTGAAAGCATGGCTTTAGAGGACGACATCGAGGAAGTGATCAGAATAAAAGATTGGAGACCACAGGCTATCTGTAGTACCTCCTCTGGTGACCTCCTTGTCTCAATGGATAGTGAAGATGACAAAAGACAAACAAGAATAGTCCTATTCTCTGGTTCCATGCAGGAAAAAGTCATTCAGTTTCATGACAATGGCATCCCTCTCTACTCATCTGGCGGATCAAAAAAATATATATGTGAAAACAGGAACCTTGATATATGTGTAGCTGACAGTGGAGCTAAAGCCGTTGTGGTGGTCAATCGGTCTGGGAATCTAAGATTCCGTTATACAGGACATACGCCTGCCCCAATGAATAAATCATTCAATCTTAAAGGAATCACTACAGACAGTCAGGGTCATATACTTACCAGTGATGATAACAATTACTGCGTTCATATCATAAATGAGAATGGACATTTCCTAAGTTACATAAACTGTCAGAATGGACCTTTTCAATTATGTGGATTGTGCACGGATACAGCTGACAATTTGTTTCTTCTTAGTTACAAAGTATTGTTATATAGTCGTATTTCAAGCCATGTGCTGAAAATCAAATACCTGCAGGGAAATTAATCAACTATCTGTTTTATTTCACCAGCATACTTGGAAAGCTAAGATAAAGATTTGATAAATTTTGTAAAAAAGGTTTTTTTTTAGGTCTTCACTTAATTAACACGTCAAATATATATCTCAAATAATGTTTCAAAGTATATGTATCATTACATTTTGTAATCAACAGTTTTCATGGGAAATTAGGTAAATATGAGAGGTACCTGATTAAATACAAGTTCTACTGGTCTAATCTAAAACAAAGCGAGGAATGGTTGTGAAAAAACAAATATATGGCAAAGCCCCAGGCAATTTTTTTTTCGCTTTTTTAAGTAGGACACAAAAGATAGCCAAATTTTTCCTCAGATTCAATTTTTCTGAAACTTTGATATTTTGTTCTACGAAACAAAAAATTCTTTACATATGATATGAATGAAATTCAACCACACATGTTTTGCACGAATAGTTTGAAACATGGCCTATCAGACGCTTGTAAGAAGATTGCAAAAACAAATATTTCACTTGAGAATGAGCCTTTTTTGAAAATTATCAATTGATCTATTGCAAATGTGTGTAGTACTATTTATAAATATGACCCTTTGTTTCTTAAACTCGGTAAGTTATATTGATACTGGAAAATTGGTGTAAAAATAGATCATGTATAGCGTCGAAATTAAAAATTCACAGGTAAATACGCTTTTGGTTGTCTTACAAGAAAATGTATAATTCAATTTTTACGAAAAAATCAACAGAAAATTCAAATGGGTCTCAGAGTAATTAAAAATATTTCAGTGGCAAAAAATTAAACGATTCAGTGGATGACGTCACAGGATTTGACCTTTGACTTTTTGATATGACCTTGACCTTTGCAGTACATAAAGAATGGAGACTCCTTGTATACGTTTCCAAGTATAAGCCCTCTACAATTTTTGGAACAAACGTTAAACTGCAATTAATAACAGACTGTTATATGTTTTTTATTGCATTTAAACAGCGTAAATACATTCTAAAATGTAAGCTCCCAAGTAAACAATATGTAGGATTCTGGGTTTTTTTCACAAAATATGCCTAAAGCAAGCAACAGATTATCATTTTTCTTATGCCTAGGTTTCATTTCCCGGCCGGTAGCCGTAGACCGGTGTTAATAGGTAGTAATCCGCGGTGTTAACGATGCCCCAACATCGGTCCACATCGGCCTAGTAGTCCTTAAAGTATCAGACACATTATCCAGCGATGTGCGTACGATGGGCAACCAATGCATTTTCTCATCGTATACCCCATCGTTGGATAATATGACTTGTACTTTACAGGGATCATTCATTAAGTATAAGTCACATTGTCCAACGATGGTGTATACGATGAGAAACCAATGCGTTTTTTGATGAAAATGGCGTGGTTATCGGCCTGGCACCACTAGTGATCGGACGGTGACTGAGTCTTTTTTTTTTTGCGAATCGGTGGGGTCATCGGTAGGAAATAATTCGTAGTTTAAATTCAGCGATGTCTCCAACGATGCCTCACATCGATCCTCATCGGCAACCCATCATTAACATATCTTTCAAGGATCGGCCGATGTATGGCCGAGCATCGTGCAATATCCATTGAATCTGAGGTCATCGGGGAGTTTAGTGGTGTTCAACAGATAACGACCGATCATCGGTCGATGTTCGTCCAAACATTGGCCCGTAGTCGACCGATGTACGAAGGATGTTTACCAATGTATGAGCGATGTAATATACATCGGCCGATTATCCTGGAACATCCTGGAACATAGTTTTATGATTAGCAATGCATCGCTTGGCCTTTGTAAGTCCGGCCGGTGTAACGTTGAATATTGACCCGAGTTGAAAATTGACCCGGGGGTCATTTTTCAACGTTGAATATTGAACCGGGGTCATTTTTCAACGTTGAATATTGAGACCAAAAGTCGTTGAATTTATACCCGGGGTCATTTTTCAACAGCTTGATATGTTTTTTCTTACACCTGATGACGTCAACAAGTTGAAAATTGACCCTGTTGAATATTGACCCCACCTCAAAGTTTGAACATTTTTTTTTAGCTGGGAAGTTGTTCTACGGGATTTATCAGTATCACTTTATTTATATTTCGGTTTCAATTTTTTTTCCCTTTTCAAGAATAATAGAAACAAACATACAGTATCACCCCGTGTATACTTAGTATATGTACATTTTGAACAGTGCACGGTTTATTTATCTTCAAGCATAACAACTTTATTTTTGACAATACTTTCCAAAATCCATGGCATCCATAAATAAATACAAAACAACGAATAGGGCATAAAACAAATGTCTTAATAAAAATCTGCAATCTAGAAAGTAGCCCTATATATATTGATCAGGTGGGTGGGACATCCCATCTAGTCAAATTCAGTATAAAAATAACAGAATTTATTCTAAAACATTTTTATTCTATAGAATGTGATTCCTATTTGATTATTTGTTATTTCTATTCCATTATTTGTAATTTGTATTCGATAAATTGCTATTCCAATTACAGGAAATGTGACAATATGATTCATATATCATAAAATTTACATATTTTTTTTCTCGAAAACACGCGTTTCCTATTCGATGTCATTAATATTTAAAACAATCGGTTGCTAGTCGCTAATTTTGTCATTCCAATTCGATAATTTTTTTTATTCGATAATTATTTGGTTTATATGCTGTAAAGTTGTTGTTCGAAAACATATTAGCATCCATATCTATTTGAAAAAATATGATTCCTATTCGATAAACTTCTCAACTTATTACATAATTTTATCTCTATGTTCTCCTATGCGATGTTTTTTTTTTATTTTTCAATAATTGCCATGACTGCATTCTGGGAAATATGACAAATTAAACTAGAATTCGTTGTAAACTCAATTAAATAGGAATGTAAAGTTTCACATTATTATCGAATATAAATCATTTTATCACATAGATTGACAAAACAAAATTTGAACATTTTGGGAATAAGGCAAAAGTTTTCTCTCTTCAAGACTTAGAGACTGGGGATCAGCATAAATTAAGCTGTTGCTGTTTAATATTAAATAAATGTTTCTCGTTTTATACATTGGTGGAGTATTTTTAAAGGATTTACTTATCAGAATGCTGATTTAATTATTTGATTATGTCTCGCATCAATTTTTGACAAAGATATCCAATATGTTTTAATATAAAGTACATGTAGATCCTAATTCAAGACTTCAAGGCATTATTACGTCTCATCAATTACGGAACATTAAAAAATATGAATACAAGTTGTAGTAATTTATTTTTCAGAAACATCAAGTCATATTCTATATTATCTTTAATTGAGAAATCAATACTATTTCTGTTTTTACAAAAAAATTATCTCCATTTTAACACTTGTTCTATGAGAAAACCAGGCAGGGGGATCGATGTCACTCACTTTAATGAAATTTTCTAAAAGGACTCCTGCAATATAGCATATGATCACAAGAAAAAAAAACATGAAGTCAATATGCATTTCAGATTTAATAAATAGTAACTCAAGTCTTTATGCTGTTATATACTTAATCATGTGATCAAGTCAAAGAGCTTAGAATAAAAGTTGATTTCACCTTTTCGTGCTAAATAGGTGCTATCACCTATTTGAATAAGTGGTATCACCTATTCGAAAAGGTGATATTACCTATTTGAGTTTCTTCAACAGTCATTAATGAATGATCTCTATAATATACTCAACAAAAAAAGTTAAAGGACACTTACTTTTTTGAAAGTTTTAAAATCTATAATTTTTTGTTGCATTTTTTTGTTTTATCTGGGCTTCCATATATTTTTATGGATTGTTATTCAAACACACTCTTGATTTGTGCTCCATTCCAGTGATTTTTGCTAATTGAACGTTTTTGCTAATTGAACGTTTTGCTTTATCCATATTTCTGTGATATTGGCTGTATTGTATACTCATTGACAACCTCAAAAAGGAACAAGATTCGATTATTTGTACAACATTTGTTGCTTTTTGCCATTTAATACGTTTTCATGCCTCAAAGAAGACATCTGACGGTAGAGGAAGCCGCAAGGGCCATTGGAACGCTTCAAGCGTCATGTTGGAGCGCAACTTGGTGTAAGTCATTCTGTTGTAGGACGTTTGTTGGAACGATACGAAGAGACTAAAAGCGTCAAACGGAGACCTAAAAGTGGTCGTCCAAAAAGTACAACTGTTAGACAAGATAGACAAATATCGCTACTTGCGAAGAGAAATCGAATGCCTTCAGCTGTTTCTTTGAACAGAGAGCTATCTGCAGCAACAGGTATAAGGATGTCAACACAAGCCTTGAGAAACAGACTGCATGATGTAGGATTACATGCCAGAAGACCTGCTGTACGCCCACCTTTGACCGTGGAACATCGCAACCGTCGCCTCCAGTTTGCTCAAGACCATATCAACTGGTACCATCATCATATACAAGGAGTGTTATGGACTGATGAATCCAGATTTTGTCTGGATTTTAATGATGGTCGCAGACGAGTATGGAGGAAGAAAAACGAGAGATATAAGGACTGCTGCATCACTGAACATGACCGGTTTGGTTGTGGATCAGTCATGGTTTGGGCAGGTATCAGTTACGATGGCTCCACAGACCTTTATGTCATAAGGAATGGATCGCTAACAGGTGTCTGTTACAGGGATGAGATCCTTGCACCAATTGTTAGGCCTTAAGCTGGTGCCATCGGTGAAAATTTCATATTGATGGATGACAATACCAGGCCCCATCGTGCGAGAGTGGTCAATCACTACTTAGAAGAAGATACAATCGAAAGGATGGATTGGCCAGCAAAATCACCTGACCTGAATCCAATAGAGCATGCATGGGACATCCTCCAGAACCAAATTTTAGGAAGGCAAAACCAACCAAGCACGCTCCGTGAACTTGAGTTTGCTCTTGTTGAGGAATGGTCAAGAATTCCACAGGATAACTTCCTAAATTTGATCAACAGTTTTCTGAATCGATGTAGAGAAGTAATTCGGGTTAGAGGCGGTCATACAAGATACTGAAATTAACGTTTCGACTTTCCAGGTTAGTTAAAACCCTGAAAACACGACTGTTGTTTCCTCATGAAATCCTGTATTAATGAAAATTCTTGTTGTTTTGACAGTTACATGTTGTAACATGTTGTTGATTTGTTTATTATAAGAGATTTATTATTGTTTACTTTTAAAATGTTATTTGTTACCACCAACTTTACAATATATGTTGCAAAAAATAAAATTCTCAAGTTGGCCCTTAACTTATTTTGTTGAGTGTATAAGTGAAATAAATTAATTTGTGAGCAAAAAAAAACTACAGCTGTTCGACGGGAAAAGGTGATATCACCCAATCGAATAGGCAATATCACCAATTCGAATAAGTGATATCACTTTTCGAATTGGTGATATCACAAATTCAAATCAAATAGGTGATATCATCGATAGGAAGAGTTGATATCACTTATTCAAATAGGGGATATTACTTTTTCCAGTAAATACCAAAACGGGGCCTCATACCTATGAATTAAGTCCCAGTAGTGAAAACCCAATCATAAATATGTGTTTTTATGCTGTTGAATTTTGAACCGGTTTCATGATCAAAATTCCACGACCCGGCTCAGTTTTCAACGGATTAGGGTCTAAATTCAACACCTTTGGTTTCAGTATTCAACGTTGAAAAATGACCCCCGGGTCAGTTTTCAACCCGGATCAAAATTCAACGTTACACCGGCAATCATGCCATTAAAACGCATTGGTTGCCCATTGTATGCACATCGCTGGAAAATGTGACTGATACTTTAAGGACTACTAGGCCGTTGTGGACCGATATTGGGGCATCGTTAACACACGGATTACTACCGATTACCAACGGTCTACGGCTACGGGCCGGGAAATGTGACCTAGGCATTACTGTCAATATAGTGATATTTTCTTTTTTTTCTCCAGTACCTTTTGAGAAATCATTTAAACAGAATACACAGGTGATTTGTACTACCTTAAACGTTAATGGTCACATGCATATCTTTTAAGTTCATAATCTGTTTTAAACTGCAGGAAGTGAAAATTACTCTGTAATCAAATATAAACAGATAAACAGCAAAAAGAAAACATTGATGTAACCATCGACAAATGGTGCATATCTAAGCAGTAAAGAATACTTGAGATTTCTTTATATCTTACGGATTAATTATTTATGTTATTTCCGTTCAAAAAATAATATCAATCCATGCATCAAAATTTTGTTTGAGTTATGTATCCTTAATAGGTTAAATATTCACAAGTCGCCTATCGTCGCCCGATCATCGAGCTCTGAGCTACAGTTTGATTTTAACCGTCGGCCAAAATTTTCAAAATTCTTATTGTCCAACGACGGACGACCGATTTAGTAAACTGATAGCCGGTGGTTTGACAATGATCGAAGGTTGGTCGACGGTTATCTGCAATTGAAGAAATCGGCCACCGACGTATGAAAATTTATAACTTGGACAGATGGACACAAAATTGATCGTCCGACATAAAAATAGGTCAAAATCGGCCAAAACAATGGCCGATGAAGTGACAACTGTCATCCGAAAAATCCCATTTTTGCTTCAAAACCCGTCGGCCGTTGGTCGTTTTTGGAAATGTGACTGGGGATTTAGGCATTACTATGGAAAGTGGTGACAACAAACAAACAAAAGTTGTTCGATACACTTACTTCCACATAAAATCAAACCATTCAATTTGATGATAAGTGTAAACCACTATATTTCTCTAGTGGTCCTTGGTGATACGTGAACATATGTGAAAATAGGAATCTTGATATATGTGTAGCTGACTATGAAGCTAAAGCAGTAGTGGTGGTCAATCGGGCCGGGAAACTGAGAATCAGATTTACTGGACAGTCCACGAGGAATCACTACAGACAGTGAAAGTCACATCCTTACAACTGATTATGATAATCGATGTGTCCATATCATGGACAAAGATGGACAGATCTTTCATTACCTGACCTTCGGAAAGAATAAACCGTATGGAATATGTACAGATACAGTTGACAATCTTTTTGTTGTTTGCAAAGAGAAAGAAATGGATGATTTGTATTACACGCATAGTTCCATTATGAAAATCAAATACATGTAGTAAAACCAACTATACAAATAATCTTCTAATGTCACACTTGAGTGTAAAAAGAATGATTAACAGAACACTGATTTTTATCCTTCAATTTTTCATAAAAAAGGTTATTGCACTGCAATTTACAGCTGAAATAATTATGAATAGCATGTCCTCCACTAATCCATTTTATTTTTATTTATCTTGATCAATTGCTTGGAGGCTTTAAATACAAAATACCAGAGGAATATGACAAGACAACAGATGTACTTTTGTAAGAGCAGAATAATAGAGTGTTTGGGGCGAAAACTTGTGCAAATGATAATCAATACAGTTCTTGAGGAATAAAGACTATTTTATAAATTGATATTTACATGGACATGAGACGAAGAGTTCGGTCCTTCAAAAGAAACCATATAAATTAAAGTTCCTTGAAGAAGTGAGTGCTGGCATGAAAAATATCCCCCACCATTTAATTCAAAATTTATTAAAACTTGAAATTTTCTGCGGGTTTGATTGACACATCCTTGCACTTTCACAAATTTGGATTTTATTCTTAATAATTAGGAAAAGTGGCAATCTTGTTGTGTATAAATGAAAAAAATAAAACTATAATTCAGAAAACTCAGAGTAGAAATGTCCGAAAGAAAAACATACACACAGTATATTGTCAGTCCGTTTAGTTATGATGAGTAGACTTTAACAATTGAACGCATCCGGTGAATTGTAAACATCAACTATAACAGAGCTCGTGCCCTGTTACTTAGCTCAGAATGACAATGCTTGAGAAGGAGTTTTGCTTTCTAACATTTCTACTTTGAATAAAATTATTTTTCTGCATTAAAGTTTTAAAATTTTTTTCATAAATACACAACAAAATTGCCACTTTTCTTATGTATTAAGAATAAAGTTAATATTTGTGAATGCAAAGTGCAAGGATGTGTCAATCAAACCCGCCAAAAAAATTGAATTTTTAAAAACTTTTAAATAATATAAGATTTTTAATTTATTTTTGTGTGAAATGCTATTAAAATATATCTTCAAATCTGTGTCCATGCACCTTTAAAGACATTGCTTCTCAGCGTTGTTTTGCAATACTTACCTTAATCCAACATTACCTGGCTCGATTAACCGGTACTAGATTTTGAGATTTTTCCCCTCATCATGATTCCAATGATGTTTCCGTTCATTTATATAACTAAACATGATATATTGTTATATCACCCACACCGTGATGTACATTTAAGGATTAATATGTATAAAAAAGTTTATTGTTTTTTTTTAATAAAAAGAATCGAATGAAAAAAAAAAATACAATTTGTAATTTACAGTTAACTTTATTGCTTTACTGTGTTTATATCAAACAAATAATTTGCGACTGTAGAAATTTGGATTCTATAATAAATCATCGTTATTTGAATTTAGAATATTTCACTTTTTCATATCATAATGAATGTTGTATACAAACGCAATTTACAGTGAACATTGTGTAAATTCTGCATAGTCAACAATTTTCGGAATCAGCTGCTGTCATCAAACAATGTTGGCTGTAGCTACATTTGAAGGCGTTGCTTCATTATTCAGCGGGTAATAGTATACAGTTAAAGTATATAATATACAGTTAAAGTACAATGTATATAATTGAGGGAGTTAGCAAGATTCAAGTTCCCCAGTGCCTGAATTATATTCCGAGGGGCAAACGAGGGAAATAGTTCTGATCCATGGGAACTGGAATCTTGCTAACTCTCGCAATGATGTACTTTTAAACTGTTTATTATACCGATACAATAGAAAATAAATAGAGGATTACAAATGACGGGGAATTAGCTTTGGGAGCAGGGATTAAATAACTTGACGTCCGCATGGGGATTAGTCAAACAACATATTTTACCTATACAAAAATAAAATCTAGAAGATAACGGATAACTGGGAATTAGCTTACGAAGCAGAGAATAGCTCATTTGTCGAACGCGCAAAGATTAGTTCTTCACAGTGAATTTTACTACGGACCCCAATAAATCTTAGAGGTTGGATCAGGTGCCCAGGTAGAGTAAGTATCCCCTGTTGACCAGTCACACCTTCGTGAGCCAGAAATGTTTTAGTGGAATATTCCTAGTCACTATCAGCATAAAATAAAGCCTTGTATAGTATTTGTTTGATAAAGTTGCATGCAAAAACATAGAGGTTTAACTTTAATCAAAAAATATATGATGTTCAAAATTCACATACTCAGTATGCGTTTTATGTATTGCTTTAAATTGTATCATAAAATGCAGCTCTTCGTGTCATTTATGCAGGAAAATAGTAATTAAAAGTGAATAATGAAAATTTTCAAATATTTTTCAAACTCAGCAGACGGCTTTGTATATTTCTAATGAGCATTAAAATATAGATATTTAAATAATTTGTTCGGACCAGTAAAACAAATAACCTAGCACGTAAATAAAGCAGAAATGTGAATAAATTTGGCCTCAAAACACCGATTGTGTTGAATTTCTTAACTTAGACTCATTTTGGACAGATAATCATAGAATTTTTTGATTTCTAGATTTTTTCCCCAATAAGTCATAGTTCTGTCGTATTTTATTTATATACACGTTGCTATTAATCATTTTGATCCATTTTGATTTTACGGTGTCATCAAAAGTCACAATGTCCAAAAATATATTTTTTTCAATAGCTCCAAAACAATGTGAAGCATACAGTAAAACTTTAAAAGTTTATAAACATATCATTGTTTAACATACATGTATACTGTAAAATCAAACATTTTCATGGGGTCAAATTTCGTTGTATGGGATCTCTTAGTACGTGGGATTTGATTTCGTGGATCAATAATAAATGAGTACTTATGTTTGTTACATTTCACATCCCGTAATAGGCATGAGTTTCCGGGTCTCAACATACCTTGAAAACAACTAAGATTAAAACCCCTCGAAAATTTGTGATTTCACAGTAGTTAAACCCTGCACACTAAGGACTTGTTGTGTAAGTCATTACAAGGGTATATAAATTTAACAGTAAGAACCTTAATCAGAGGAGTATGAAGGTTTACTGTAAAAGCTATCATGGAGGATACAAAGGTTTGCTGACAGAGCCCTTTCAGAGTAGAAGCTAAAAATGTACATATGTTGACACAGGACGCACGGTGGAGAAAAGACGACGATAAACGAAAAGTAAAACCTTCCATTTTTTCAGCAGAGGATTATTTTCCCATTTATTCAAACTTTTATTGTGTATTGTGTGCTCCTCGCTGTGTCATGATTTGAACCAACTTTAATTTACACAACCCGAAACTCCGTCTGTATCAGTCTATGTTTACAAAGTTATCAGGCTTTCTGAAGGAAAGAGTTTGCCTATTATTTCTATAAATATATCCCCTGAGTTCATTTTTTGATGAAACTTGAATTTACCAGATTATAACTAATTATAACAAATCATGGCGTTAGTCTTTTTAAGTAGACCATGATGACCTACTGCGGTCCAATTCTTTCCTTGAAGGTATTAATTTGAACTACGTTGACTCTTCACTATGCAATGAAACTTTCATATAAAGAATGAGTGCACTTAAGTACGTCATTTGGAACCTTTTCGGCTACCCATTTTAAGCTTAAAATTACAATATATCGCAAAATTAATCTATGATTAATGTGCAAGCATACTGTAAATGTATTATATTTAGCGTGTACGATATTTGGCGGAAATTGATTTTTGAACAAGTAAGCGTAGATTTGATTTAGCGTATTTCTCAGTGTTCCTATTTATGTGTATATGTGCGAGACATTTGGCTTTGTACTTGAATTAGCGGAAGTTTCACTCCGCCAAAAGCGCTAAAAAGAATACACAGCCAAATGTAATACGTTTACAGTATGCTATTGATATTTATTTCTAGAATTTTTTGTCATACATATTTCTATAATTACAGAAAATGTAATTGAAAAGAACATGTAAAAGCCTTAAATTCCGGAAATTTGAACGGGACCACTTTCGAATCTAAGGTATCCGCAAGTAGGCGGAGAAATTTAAACCGCATGGTTGTGGAATGTAAACATTAGCACATATGATTTTTTCGCATTGCGAATTGAAATGGAAAAGAGAGAGAGAGAACGTGTTGATTTCATGGTGCACAATTATAAAATGATTCTAACGTTAAGGGATGGGGTAAATGTCTCGCTGTGCAGACCATAATACAGAGGCGACATAAGCCTAAACATGTACTTACTAATGACACTGTCAATACCAGAATTCTTTCAAAACACCCCTAATGAAAAGCATAAAGATAAATAAGAGACATATTATCTTCAAACCCTATTAAAACTTGCGCAAAAATCTCCCATAGTTTTAAGTTGGAAGTAAAATAGATAATGTCACAACAGAGACTTAAACACAATGATATTTTCAATGAAAGCGTTAGCGTATCGAACAGCAGAAGGTCACGTGAGAAAGGTGTTTATAATATCAATCGTTGTTGCTCAGTGACCGGTTGATTTAGTAGCTATTTCGACCTTAGTTTGGGGACATTTTTTTGAAAATTAGATATGAGCCGCAACTTGGCCAACATTGTCCTTTGGATATGTATAAGTTTAAGTTAAAATACATATTCTGTGCAAATAAGAAAAATGGCCAAGTTGCGGCTCGATGTAAACAAAGTCGTTGAAAACTGGTATGCATATGAATAACAATAGAAATGAGACAAAACTGTTAGACCCCGTCTCAAAAGCTAGTGTCGTTCGGCATTATTTAATACTTTCATGTAATATAATATACCAAAACCTGCTCTAAAGACATTGTTTAATACCTATAAAACATAAATTTAATGAATTTTGTAATTTTATTTTGCGCAAAACATCGGGATCCAACTCTCATAGCTTAAGTGCACTCATTCTTTCAATTTTTCTGGCTCAGGCTGCTTTTTGTTGATAAGGTTTTTCCAAATATTCGACTTACTTTTCACAAATTGCAATCTATATCACTCATAGAAAGAGGGAATGTTCCTTTATTTAATTGTGGCAAGTTTGGTTGAAATTCGTTTATTGGTTTTAAGAAGAAGTTCTAAATGAATAAAAAAAATATACAGAAGCAGAAATATGAACACAAAACAAACTGTGATCAGAAACATTCATCTCAGCTTTCAGCTCTCTGACAGGTCAACGAAAATAAAGACCTTAATAAGAGTCAGACATGTTTGTTCTCTAAAAAAAAATAGCCCACTTAAACAACCATGGTAATTATACAGTAGGCAAAAGGAATTATCATCTTATTGTGTATTATTGTTGTTAAATGCTGGGTGATAAACATTCCATTTCGGTCATTAGAAATAATAACAGCTGCAATATGTAGTTTGTTGTTCAATAATTAACGCACTAAACTAAATGTAATGAACTGTCATTTAACAATAAAAACAATTCAACCTCAACACTGTGTTTTTCATAATGCATAATATACATTAGTAGTATAGATTTACTCAGAGTAAACACAATTTCCCAGTCAAGCAAGAAGATTGTCTAAAATTACAGATCAAATTATAGAACTTCACAGGCGGCTTTGTTTCTTTGTGTTGATCATATTCAATACATATTTTTTAATACCTTGCTGACTCAAACCAGACAAAAATAAAAATTGAAAAATTTGACAGGTAGATAATGGTTAAGGAATCATGTGACCTGGAACACTCTTTGTATTGGAACTTAGTTGTTTAGTGGAGCTAACATTGCTTTACAACAGGTATTTATTAATTATAAAACTATCTCAAATCATATAATTTTCGTCATAATAATTTTTTAGTTGTATGAAAACATTTTGTTTGTTAGGCATATTGTAAATATGTAAAGTTTTAGGTTGCTACAAACGAATATATCTCACAGTCATATTCATCGTTATTTATATACAAAATCGATTTCTTCTTCGGCAGAGAGGAGAATAAATGTCCAATATTCGTGTGTTCAAATTCAAATTCTAATTTAACTTGTGAGCACAAGATCATGGTTCATTAATGTGAATTAAAAATTAAAGAAGCAAACAAAAAAAAATAAATAAAATAAAATAAAAAAAACAATATTTTAAAGTCTGTAACTTTTACTGAATTTAGGTAGATTGATCAAAGTTCTCATATATATTCAGAAAAGAGAAAAAAAAGTGTTGATCTTTGATGAAAAAGGTGATACTTTTATGATAAAATTGGTTCATTTTCTCCTGAACTTTCAAAATACATCAACCGCACTTGTTACACTATGATGAAGGAAATCAGAAGAAAAAATCCAGTGAATGATCTTGCAAATATTCATCCGCAGATAAATAATATAATTTATTATTTCAGAGCCTAACACTGGTCATGGACCCTCGAACCAGTGCCCAGGATTTGGTGCGATGTGACCTGTGTGAGACAACATTAGTACAGATGCACTGTGACACATGTCTCGTAAACCTCTGCAAGGCCTGTGTTGGAGAACATATTTCAACGAATGAAACCAAGGATCACAGAGTGGTCAAATATCAGTCTAGGAATTCTACCGTTATCTACCCTACATGTACCTCCCATGAAAAAGAACAATGTGAGATGTTCTGTAGACATTGTGACATTCCTGTCTGTCACACTTGCCTGGCATCTGATCAACATCTTAGTCACAAGCTCTCAAAACTTTTGCACGTTGTAGGTGAAAAGAAAGACTTGATAAGAAAAGAGCACAAAGAATTAAATGAAACAATTTATCCCACCTACCAGGACATAGAAGTTGACGTGCAAAAGACAATGAGTAAGTTAGAGAAGGCATATGGAGATCTCTCAACAGTAATAACAATACATGGAGAGGAATGGCACAAACAAATTGACCAACTTGTCAGAAAACTTAAAGCACAACTTAATAAAGCAAAAACCGTACAGTTACAAACGTTAAAGGGACATCTAGATGAAATTCACGTGAAAATTGTAAACATTAAAGATGATATTGATTTTCTTGCTACCGCTTCAGATTCTAATGACATTTCAAGACCGTTCAATGTAAGATCCAATGTAGATAAATATAAGAAACTTCCACAAAAGCTTGTTCTGTCTTTACCAAAATTTATTCCAGGGACAATATTAATTCAAGGGGAAGAATTTTGTAAACTTTATGGTGTTTTATCACCATTTTCTATTAAATCAGAAGAGTATGGATACAGTATTAAGATAACACAAAAACATCCAGAATTTGGATATAAAATAGGTAAAAAATCACAAGCATTTCAATGCCGACGTCCTGTAAAAAAATTACTTGAGACACCAAGGGTTTCCCAAAGGAATAT